TTAATAAATTAGTAATTGCTTGGCTTAACATGTGGGAATCAAACCCAGGGCTGCTTGCAGTTGTTTGGTGTGTGGGCAGGGAGTGAGGAGTGCTTGTTTGGCTTAAATATAATTAATGGCAATAACGATTTAATTTTTCCCCAGTGGCTGTGGGAAACCCAGCTGTGCTTGGTGACCAAAGCTCCTGGGGCAAACAGCTGGGCACCAGTGAGTGGTGGGAATATCAGCATCTATTATTGCTAATGCAGCAAATGATGGCATCTGTTGTGGCTCTGTGACACCCAGAGATGCTCTGGGTGGCTCTGCCTTGTGCCAGCTCCAGCTGGAAACTTCTGCTGCTGCTTTGGGTTTGGTTCCAGGTCAGGACCTCCAAACCCACAGACACTCAGAACCTGGAACATTTCCTCTCTAACTGGTGTAAATTCACTGATTATTCCCAGGAAAGATTTTCAAGTAATCTCGAAGGAGCGAAAAGTCACCGAACAAGAAGGGCATAACTCTCCCAGCTGGGTAATTAAAAAGAAAATTAAAAAGTGTGCTAAGTTGAGATTGACTTGTGGCCATGCTTTGAAGATTAAAAGGGCTTTTTTCATTTGGGATGCAGGAGGTGGGGGTTGGTGGGAGGAGGAATTGTGGCTGCCAGAGCAGTTGGGCTGTGAATTACTGAGCTGTGAACAAGATTCCAGAATCACTGACCAAAACTTTGGGTATCTTGCTCTTTTACCCCCCTGATTTTTAAAACAATTAGTCTTGAAGCTGGATTTTCAGCGTGCCTGCTCACTGTGTAATGCAGGGCGATTTTTAGGCATCCAAGCAAAAGATATATTGAATGAAAAACTAAACAAATGATTTTTTTTCTTTAGAAAAGTAAAATAACAGCAGCTTCAGCTAAAGGGTTGGATATCCCATATTCTTTGCACATCCTGCTGGATTTTTCTGTACAGGGAATTTAGCCTAACCTTTGGAAACCTATTAGTCACAAAAATAGGGAGAGAAAGCTGAAATACGAGTGTGAAATACAACTGGTAACTGGTGTGTGGAATTTGGGTTGGGAGGAAGCTCCAAACCCATCCTGTGGCACATCTCCCACATTGCCAGGCTGCTGCAAGCCCTGGCCTGGGCAGGCAGGGCCGGTGATTCCGGGAATACAGAAATAAAGGTAATGATGTGTTCAGGGTAATCTGGGAATTTGCAAGGTAATGACGTGTTCAGGTTCATTACCTCTCACCCTGCTCTTTGCTTCTGTCTTTTCTTGGAAAAGAAAAGAGCTTTTTGCCTTTATAATTACAGGAGCTCCGGGTACTCGTTAGTTTATGAGTTTATGACTTAGTTAATGAGCAGGGTGAATACAAGAGCAGGTCCCAAAAAGCACATTCCTTCTCCAGTATTCCTGTGCCTGTGCAGTGTAAGGCTTTGGCTTCGCCATTCTTTTGGTGTTCCAGAACAATGATTCCTTATTTCTTGCCCAGAAATCAGCCACAGGTATCCTTAAAAGCACTTCCACCTTTTTTACACAGAACTCTGTGTCTGCTCTGATGTACATCTCACATCCTGGGTTCTTCTTACAGGTGTTTAAAAAGAGACCAATCCAGGAAAAGTTCTAATAAACACCTTAATAATGCAGGTTGTAGATGAATTAGGGATTTAAGAGCAGAAATTGGCCACAACACATTGCATTGTCCAGCTGGAAATGTGGGATTCAGTGGCCAGGGATTGCCCCAAGGTGTCCTTTTTCTAGGAGAGAGGGATTTGTGGGTTCAGCCAGGTGCAAGGGGGGCTCTCAGCAGGAGCAGGACTGGGCATCACTCCCTGAATTACCTGGGAAGTTTTTTCGAGCAGTTCCAGTAATTCTTGGTGTCTGTTTGAGTGGGAACAGCAGTAGATGTTTTCATATCACAGCAGATCTTCTGCTAAGTGCTTTTTTCAAAGAATTCATAATTCAATGAATTTATAAACATCATTCTAAGATCAAACTTAATAGCTGAGGCTTTCTGCTGTTCCCAGTTGTGGGTGGAAGTGGATCTATTTATCGTGCTCGTGTGTGATGCTATTTTCTGTCTTTGCTGTGTTAAGTGTGTTCTGGAGGGTGTTCATGGGATTAAATAAGGTGATGTAAAAGATCATGTATTTGCTGTGCCTTTGGGAGGAAGAACACTTAAATTAGGAGATCACTACAAAAATGTAGTGAGGGGGCTCACTGAGCTGTCAGAAACCTCCTCCAGGTGACACAGGATGTTCTTGCAGGGAAGCTGTGCCTCCCCCTGAGCACTGCAGGTTCCTTTTGGGTGTTGTTCTTGTTAAGGTTCAAAGGAGGGATTTGGTTTCCAGGTGTTTGCAGCGCCCAAGTTGCATTTTGTTTATTGCAATTGCAGATTTATTGTCATTTTGGTGATGGGACAGAACTGCTGTGTGCCACCCCTGTGCAGGGGGAACTTCAGAGAAGGGTTTTATCCTGCCCAAGTGCTGCAAAACTGCAGAGAATAAATATTCCAACTCAGAATGTTGTCAGTAGTTCACCAACGTGTGTCCAGGAGCAAACAGAATTTGTCTGGAGCACTCAGAAGTGTTGGTTCATCCCCAGACTGAACAATGAGTATCTGAGAAAGCAGAAAATTGGATTTTCTCATAAAAATCAAAGCAAACTCCTCCTAGGAGTAACATTCCCAAGGAGTAGAAATGCTTCCACCAGTTTGCATTTCAGATGTTAAGCAGGTAATAAAAATGATGAGTGGCTGTGTCAGACCATCACAACCAAACTCCCTAAATAAATCCTGTGCTGGGATTCCCCTCCCACAGCCACACACAGCCCTGAGCTCTTCATTCCCACCTGGCTTCCAGGGACTGGAAGCTGCACTTTGGAATATTCCAGTGCTTGAGCTACATTTGGAATTGGCATGGAGTGACAGCAATTCCAGTCCTGCTCACCACAGGGAATTGTAACCCAACAACCTGGATCAGTCCTGACATCAGTCCTGGCAGCTGGGATTGAAGTGGAGATACCCACATTAGCAGGTGGTTTGTTTGGATTGAGTGTAAATGCAGAGTAATCAGAAATAAATCGTTTGAATGTTGAAATTCTCAGCGATGATGAATTTTGGAGCGATTAGTTTTAATTACAAGGTAAATAGACAAGTCTCTGATTGCATACTTAAGAATTTTAATTGCATTGAACTCAATTATACTTTGAACTGTGATATTCAGGGCAAGAAATATTTGAGTCCCTGGCATTGTTTAATCCATCCAACTATTAAAAAAAAAAATAGTTGGATTAAACAATAGTTGGACATTGGAGTAAAAAAGAAAATGGTTTACTTCTTTCAAAAGCTAAAGATTTCCTCTTGCTGTTGGTCCCTGTGAGCACATCAAACACCTTGAATCGAAAACAATTTCCAGTTCATTCTTTAAAAGTGTTTGAGATCAGGGATCTCCAGCCAGGCTGGGTACAGCAGTTGGTGTTTTGTGGTCTTCAGGTTTTGGTGATGTTTGTGTTGAGGGCTCTAAGATGTCTTTAGGGTGAAATGAAGATATTTGTGTTTGTGAAAACAGTTGGAATTCAGAAGGAGGAAAGGAAAGGATGTATTAATTGGAAAAGGAGCAAACAGAGGGGGAAACTTTTCAACATCTCTTTGAGTCAGGCTTAAAGGCTGGAACATCCCGTGTGTTTGTGTGCACACAGACTGCACCAAGGGGTCAGTGGAGATCCCTGGATCCCTTCCATGGCTCTGAGTGAGGGATGAATAGGGAGCATTGCACGGGACAGGCGGCAGCTCTCAATTAACCGAGCCCTGGCCCTTTGATCAGAGCAGGACCGAGCACACGCCGAGCCCCGAGCAGCAGCAGTGAATTCTGACTTGGGAGAGGGCTGGGTGGAGCTGTGGGATCGATGGATCCGTGGGGCTGGATGGATCCGTGGGGCTGGATGGATCCATGGGGTTGGATGGATGGAGCTGTGGGGCTGGATGGGGCTGGATGGATCCCTGGGGCTGTATGGGGCTGGATGGATCCATGGGGCTGGATGGATGGAGCTGTGGGGCTGGATGAGGCTGGATGGATCCGTGGGGCTGGATGGATGGATCCCTGGGGCTGGATGGATCCCTGGGGCTGGATGGATCCGTGGGGCTGGATGGATGTGTGCTGGTGTTGCTCCGTGCTGTTCCGGTTGTGCCTTCAGTGTCAGCTGTAGGGTGACGGTGTCTCGTTAAAGGGGATGTGACAAATCCCAAAGTGATGTCCAGGAGGGTAAGGACAGCCTTGGGCAGGGCTGTGCTCCCACAGAACGGGAGTGGGGCACGGAGGAGATCCGTGGGAAGCAGTTCCAGAATCCCAGAATTGTTTAGGAAGACCTTGAAGATCAAATCCAAGCATTAAAGTTATTAAAGAATTAATCCAGCCCTGCCACATCCCCCACTAAACCGTGCCCTGAATGTCACATCTCCATGGTTTTTATGTTCCTCCAGGGACAGGGCAGCCCTTATTTATTTCTTGTTGGTTTCGTTGTTGTTTCAAATCCTCCGCTTTTACTCCTTTTCCACCTCACTTTGTGCCCATGGTTACTCAGCATTTCCCCTGGGGAAGTGTGTGAGCCCAGCACGAGTCCTGGGGAGCTTTGTGGATCACTCAGCCTTGGCTTAGGGAAGAGCTCTGAGGTCTGGCACCTCTTGAAAACTTCTCCAGTTGCTGATAGAAACATTTCCGTGCGAGTTGCACAACAGAGGCTCGTGGAAAAACACCCGGAGAGAAGCCCCATGGTGATTCCAGCCAGGCATGTCAATATTTATTTATGCCAGTTGTGTTTGGAGGGCTCAGGCTGGGTTTTTTTCCCAGTTTGTGGCCGGGCTGCTTTGCGTAAACCCGGCGGAGGCGTGGAGTAAACGAGGAGTAACGGGGGAGTAACCAGGGTATCCTGCTCCTCCCTTGTGTAAGCGGGGCTGGGATTGGGCACGGAGCAGTTACACAATGGGGAAGTATAAAAAGAGGATAAAAACGCTCCTGGGGATGAATATCTGCATCCTCCAGGCTGCTGCAGGAGCTGCCTCCTCCCAAAGGTTGGTGCTGGTTCTTTTTGGGGTTCACACCCTGGTGGGGAGGGTTGGCAAAAAAAAACTGATTTGGTGTTAACTTAAAAATGTGTATTTGCAGCTGTTAATAACTTTCTGTATCTTAAAGGTTTGAGGACTTAATTTCTCATTTTTAAATTGCTATGGCTGTAAAAAGAGGTATTTACTATTTCAGAAGTGTTTTTTCTGTTTGTCCATAAACTTTGCTTTTCCTTTTAATCTTTAAAACGGGAAAAATGATGTTTATGTAGTAAACAATATATATATATATAGTAAAAAGTAGTTTTATATGGTAAAAGAGGTTTTAAGAAAGCTTGAGCACGAAGTACAGCACCTTGGTTAGTTTCTGTAAGTTTATTAATTCCAAATCTTAGTAAGTTCTGCTAAATGGAAGTGTTAATTTCCAGACAAGCCTAACAGATAAATCAGTGTAAAACTTTTCAATTTATCAGTTGGGATCAGTTGTTGTATTGATCACTGATCCTGGGATGCCTCAGCCTTTGGGAAGGAGCTGAAAAATTGGCACATTACCTCGATTTACTTAATAAATGGAATTTTTCCTAGATGAGTCTCTAACTCCACCTTTGTTTTAACGTGATTAAAGTCTTGGAAAGAAGGGAGCTTTCATCAAAGTGCCAAGTCCAAGTACAAAGCAGTCTGAGAAAGGAGCCAGTGTGAGCTCAGGTTGCTTTGAGGGCTGTGAAGGAGCTTAACGAGCTGTGTATTAATTAATATCCATAATAATCAGAATGCCCAAATTATTAATTCTCCCCAGAGAGACTGCAAGGGCTCCATAGCTTTATAAATCGAATTACTGTGTGAGGTGAGCTCTGTGGCACGCTGAAGGAACACTGAGACAAGATTTAATTGTTATTAAAAAATATTTTTTTTAAAAAAAAAATTAAATTAATTAATATTTTATTAAAAAATAAATATTACTTTACTCTGAGTCTGGAGTGTCAGTTCCCAGCACAGATATCGAGGTGGAAATTGGAATCTCCCACCTTCTGCTTGCACTTTTCTGCAATTTAATCTCACAGCTTCTTTTTCTCATCCCTGTCCACCCCGGGAAAGTGGCAAATGCACCACACAGAATTTGGGAAAACTGTTAGAAAATGGGAGTAATGGGGTGAAAGATGAGTAGGAACTGCTTGGCCAGCTGTGTTTTGATCAAACACCTTTCAGGGTGACTGGAAACTGCAAAAATAGAAAAAAAAATAAAAAAAAATAGAAAAAAACTGAAAAAATAGAAAAAAAATAGAAAAAAAAAAAAAATAGAAAAAACTGGAAAAATAGAAAAAAAAATTAGAAAAAACTGAAAAAATAGAAAAAAATAGGAAAAAATAGAAAAAAATAGAAAAAACCTGAAAAAATAGAAAAGAATAAAAATAGAAAAAATAGGGAAAAAAATAGAAAAAACCTGAAAAAATAGAAAAAATAAAAATAGAAAAAATAGGAAAAAAATAGAAAAAAAACCTGAAAAAAATAGGAAAAATAAAAATAGAAAAAAAAATAGAAAAAACCTGAAAAAATAGAATTTCAGCTATTCTAGTTTAGAATCACAGCCTAACTAAGCTCTGACTTAATAACTTGACTAACCAAACTCGGCAGGTTTTGAAAGCTGTTGGGATCCTTTGTTAAACAGCTCATTCAGCTGGATTTAAGTCCCTTTCTCATTGACACAGGAAGTTAATGAGATTTAGCTAATGTGCTTTAAATCCACAGAAGGTTTGAGCTCGGCATAACTTTCCTGCTTAGCTTTGTGTAGACTTGCCCTAATAACGTTGGTCAGTTATTAAAGAATCGTTCTGGATGGCAGTCAAAATAACAACTGCTTAAAAATTCATTAGTGCCTCCAAAGAAAGAATCTGTTTGTGCTTTGAAGTGAAAAGAGAAGCTTCTTAAAGTGCCCATCAGCTCTTTTTAAAACCTAAATTGGGTGTTTTAAAACTCAATTTTTAGGGAGTTTGGGTATTCAGCAGCGTTTTATTCGTCTCTGCTGCAGGTAAAGATGAATTGTGTGGTGTTAGGTTCAATTTGGAGTCTGCTTTTATCCAGCTGTGGATGTGGTTCAGTGGAGGAGGGAAATCTCTGGAGCATTTAGGATGTGGTGGCATTTCAGTACAGGGAAAGAACTCAGGAGGCCCCTGCTAAAGACAAATCACGAGTTTCCTGGGACCAGAGAGGCTGCTCCAGGATAAACTCCTCCAAGACTGGAGCAGGAGGATAAAACTCCAAGACTGGAGCAGGAGGATAAAACTCCTCCAAGACTGGAGCAGGAGGATAAAACTCCTCCAAGACTGGAGCAGGAGGATGAAACTCCAAGACTGGAGCAGGAGGATGAAACTCCAACTCTGGAGCAGGAGGATAAACTCCTCCAAGACTGGAGCAGGAGGATAAAACTCCTCCAAGACTGGAGCAGGAGGATAAAACTCCAAGACTGGAGCAGGAGGATAAAACTCCTCCACGACTGGAGCAGGAGGATAAACTCCTCCAAGACTGGAGCAGGAGGATAAAACTCCTCCAAGAGTGGAGCAGGAGGATGAAACTCCTCCAAGAGTGGAGCAGGAGGATAAACTCCTCCAACTCTGGAGCAGGAGGATGAAACTCCTCCAAGACTGGAGCAGGAGGATGGCTTTTCAACTCTGGAGCAGGAGGATGAAACTCCTCCAAGACTGGAGCAGGAGGATGGCTTTTAGAAGAGAAAATTAAGTGTGGGTTCTGGGCACTGTCCTCACATCTGTGAGATGGTGAAAATGCCCTGGAAGGCAGAAGAAAATGGATTTTCGGCCCCGTGTGGATATGTGAGAGTGGGACCTGGCAGGTGCCATCAGCTCTGGGATGTCACAGCGGGCAGCAATTGGATTTGGGGTTCTGCTCACAGCACTTTGCGTGGTTTAAACACTGATTGGGCTTTTTAACCTCGGTGATGAGGGGTTTGTGGGGTTTTTCTAATTGGGGAGAACCTCTTCCTAAAAAAACATCCAACACCCTTTAAACATTTCTGAGTAGCAAAGCTGGTGGCTTGTAATTCGGTCCTTAATACTTGAAAACCCCTTGGTGATGTGTTGTGTTTCATTTCTAACAGGCTCTCAGAAACAAGGAACTCTAATTATTATTATTATTATTATTATTATTATTATTATTATTATTATTATTATTATTATATTATATTATTATTATATATTATGTATTATATATTATATATTATATACTATATATTATATATTATATGCTATATATTATATATTATATATTATATATTATATATTATATATTATATATTATTATTACTATACAATATTACTATAAAATAACTAATATTTATTAATACTATATTAATATATGATATTAATATAATATATACTATTAATATAATGAATATAATAATATGTTATACTATAATAATGAAATAAATAATAATATAATAATAATATAAATACAAATAATAATAAATAAATAAATTAGAGTTCCTTGTTTCTGCTTTGTCCTTCCCCCAGTGAGCTCCTCACCCTCAAACCTGAGCAATTTGGGGCTAAAACTGCTTTTATCTCCTGCTCAGACTTGGTACATATAACAAGAAAATAACGTGCAGAAGATGCAAGTCCCTTTCCCACATCTCATTTTTGTGTCTGCTGCCAAAAATTACAATCTCAGAGCTTGAGGATGCCTCGGTTTGTGTTAAAACTCATCTGGTGCCCAACGCTTGGCAGCGCCACGGGAGGTGCTGAAATCCCACCTCAAACGGGACAGCTTCTGGCTGAGCATCACCTCTGCCTGCAGGAGAAATCGCTCTGTTCACACCAGCCTGACAGCTCATTAAAATAATAAATTGATGATGGTAATTAAGCAGTGACCTTAATTTGATTCTAATCTCCTTAGTGTGTGTGTGCAACAGCCAAAGTTTTTTTGGCTCTTCAGCCGTCTGTGAGAGCCAGGAAGGTGCTGGAAAGATCCAGAAGCTCTCCTTGCTGGGGGAGCTGTGACATGGGACAGGCCCAGGCCTGGGCTCTTCATCCCCAGCTGCTTTCAGCACACATTTGTGTCTCATTAAGGACTTTGGGATTGGGTTCTTTTTCCCTTTGAACTGAAGATTGACCAGAGGGAGTTTTCTCTTGTTTGGTCTCAGTTGTTTATTTTTTCTTATCAGCATTACAAGGTACAAGGAGAAAAATAGAAAAGGGGTAAAATGGCCAACAAAGATCCTCTTCAAGGGCTTTTATCTGTCCATTTACCCAATTAACAGGTGCCAACTCAATTATCTTTATTAGTGACCCAATGTCCCAACACCTGTGTGCTGCACTGTGACATTTTCTACCCAATCACTTAAAACCACCCAAAAACCTCCAGAAGAACATGAAGAAGAAAGAAGGACAAGGGACACCCCCCTAAATCCTCATCTTGTCTCTTGTTCTCTAAACTTTTTCACCCAGTGATTTAAAAAACTTTCTAATCTACACACTTACACTTTTCCTATCTAACTTTAGCATTTGTTTTCATGTATCACCATGAACACACACTCATGAATTTCATATTCTATGAATTTCATGTTCTATGAATTTCATGTTCTATGAATTTCATGTTCTATGAATTTCATGTTATGTGAATTTCATGTTATATGAATTTCATGTTATATGACTTTCATGTTACATGAATTTCATGTTACATGAATTTCATGTTACATGAATTTCATGTTTTGTGAATTTCATGTTATGTGAATTTCATGTTATATGAATTTCATGTCATGTGAATTTCATGTCATGTGAATTTCATGTTATGTGAATTTCATGTCATATGAATTTCATATTCTATGAATTTCATGTTCTATGAATTTCATGTTATATGAATTTCATGTTATATATATTGAATCTTATAACTAAGTATCAGAAATAAGGGCTCACACTCTGTATCTCAGACTCCAACACATTTTTTGTGTTTCCTTTACAAATGTGTCCCTTGTGAAGCAGGGAAACGCCACCAAATTCAGATTTTCCACAGGGTGGGGAGCAGAGACCCACAGGGGCTGATTTGGGACCAGGATTGGCTCAAGGGACAGGGAAAATCTAAAATATTTTGGTTTTCACTGGTGGTGGGCTCGGCTCAGCTGGGAGAAATTCAGGATCCAGTTGGAATTCAGTCTTTGTGGTTTTAGAAGGTTTTTGGTTTGAGTTTGGCACAGCTGCTGGAGATCCTTTCACTTTGGAAAAACTGTAATTTTCAGGGCTGGAAGTCATGGGGGAGCCCGAGCTTCCTACAGAGGGTTAATTAAGATCTCTTAATTATTATTGCACATGAGCTTTACAGCATTGCCACGTCCTGAGCGTGACCTGCTGCCCAGTCCTGACACCTGGCAAAACTCTTCTAAGAGGAGTTCAAAAAACCCCAAATCAACCCAAACTAAGAGAAAAGCCCCAAAAACTTGGCGATTTCCCAGGAGTGTCAGGTGGGTTTTTGTTTTCCCCACTCTTTTTTTTTTTGCCAATATTCAAATATTAATGTTGAAGGGCCCTTCAGGAATTGCCATCGCAGCAGATTTGATCTAAATTCTATGTAAATATTTTTGGTGTGGTTCAGCCAAAAGCTGCACGCAGTGATTTTTAAATGAAACATTTCATTTTGTGGGTTCATGGCCAGTTTTCCCTCCCCCTGGCAATAAAGTTCTTTATGTCAATCTGCACCTTCTGTCCTGCCCAGGTTAACCCTTGGATCTACTTAAAAGAGATGAGCTTTGAAAGGAGTTTTTGGTGACTCACAGGCAGTTTGGTACCTCCTGAAGGCTTTTTTTGTGCAGCCCGTGGTAGCACAGGGGCAGATTTTCCTGTAGGAAGAACCTTTGTGCTCCAGTGGATGTTTTTATTCGTGGGGAAGGTTCCACCTTCAATTGTAGATCTCCATATCTCTGATGGGTTTGATCTTTTTCCCTTAAATCCATCCTGATTTATTTAAACAAAATATCAGCGACTTTAGCAAAAAAGGGAGGATGTGCTGGGAGGTCCTGGAAGCGTGAGCAGGTGATGTTGTGTCACTGGAATCCTTCCTGATGGCTTCAAGGGAGCTTTTTGCTGGGGAAAAATCAAATGTTGAAGGTGCAGAGTGGCCTGGCCCTGGCCAGGAGGTTTTTCCTGCTGAACTTGAAGCTGGGCTGTCTCCTGCCCTTCCTCTGAGTCCTGATCTTATCTCCAGCCCTGTGAACCCCTGGCAGCTTTCAACACGTGCACTGGAGACAGTTTGGTGTGGAAAGGTGAACTTTAATCAGGGTCCTGATGGAAATTTCACTTCCAGCTGTGGAAAATGAGGTTCACGTAATTTTTATAGAATTTAAAGGTTTCATAAAAAAGACAATTAGGAGAAAAAATAAAGTGAAGTGGACAGATACAGCCAAGTGTCTCTGCATTCACCTCACTGACAAAGGATTGTCCCTTAAAAACAGAACCCTGCTGCATATCCATAAATTCTTATATATATCCAAGGATTTTTGGGGTTCTTCTGTTTAGTTTTCTCTTGCCCCCTTCCCCATAGATCAATCCTCTTGGATGTAAATTGAGATTTACATTCCCTGACACCAAAAATACAATAAATTCCTCCCCCCCAGAGTTCTGGTCCTGCTGTCCTCATCTGAATAAAACAGTTTACAAATGCAGGAGTTCTGTATCTTTTTTTTTTTTCTCAGTCTTTGGGTTATACAAACAAAAACAGTTTTTATTTTAACACTATGCCATAGCCTAACATAAATGTATTATACCACTATTTCTAAATTTCATCAATAACAGAAATAAAACTGTATTAATATAACAAAATTTCTCATTCTTACACACACAACATTCACTTTAATATTTGCAAAAAGCCAATATAAATAACAATATAAACAATATATAAATATATAACAATATAAAATGTATCTCTAACACAGCCTTTCCCTTTGATCCCAGGCTGCTGCTGCTGCTGGGTTGTGCTGAGTGTCCCTGCCTGATGCTGCCTGGGTTTTCTCTCTTTCTCCAGGACTTTCCAGCTCCTGAGGAGCTGGGTTTGCTCTGCAGGGCTGTAAAAACGCCTGACCCACGTGGTGAACGCGGGGGATGATGAGGAAAGGGCTCTCCCACATTTCTTTAGGTGGCCCCAGTTCATCTGCTTCTCACCAGAGCATTCCAGAAACCTCTGATGATCACCTGTGCCATTAATTTTAATTGCTGGAGAAGCAAGAAGAGGTGGGCAGTTTGTTCTCCTGGTTTTTCTTGGACCAGCCCCTCCTGACACAAACCCTCCCTCTCTTAGGGAAAAGCAGCAGTGAGGGGTTTTTGTGTGTGGGTTGGCAGTTGTCTCTTTGGGAATTGTTATTTCAGCTATAATGTCTCAGCTCTCAGCGCTCAGTGGATCCAGGGCAAGCTTTGCTTGTGCCCTGCAGAATTTCCAGCAGCAATTCCCAAGGAGTGATCCAGGCCTGGAGAAGACAGCAGCCCTGCTGCTGTGGCAGTGCCTTGTCTTTTCCCTCTGGAGATGCTGGTTAATTATAGAATAATAAATATAAATAAATATTAAAAAATAACCCTAAGGAGCTGATCCTGTGCCTGGAAGCTTCCCTGGCTCCAGATTTATTTGCCCTGGCTTGGGGAGGTGTCCTGCTGCCCTTTCCCTTCCCAACCCCAGGGGATAAAGCTGCCAGACTAAACCTCGCCTGTCTCCATCTCTGATTTTCTTGGAGGATAAAATGCGTCTGCAATGACAGGAAAAAGGCAGATTCTTTTCTCTTTGTTCTTGTGTGCTAGGAACAAAAAAAAACCTCTACAGTGAAAGCAAATAAAACCTCCAAAAATCCCAGCTGAGACCCCCCCAGTTCCCCCAAACCTTTAACTTTTAACCCGTCTCCTCTCTGCCCTGAGCTGCTCCTCAAAGGGGAGCTCTGGGGTTATTGTCAAAATGGGAATATCAGGTTTTCTTCCAGAGAAAAGCAGTGATATTCAAACCAGTCTTCTCCTTCAGTCTTCAAGTTCAATTATTAGTATTAATTAATTATGCTGCCTTAATATTTACTCTCATAAACAAATGTTAACCCCGATTTGCAGGCACTGCTTTCCATCCCATCTTGATTTAATTAATGCTTCAAGGGATCTCAGTGCCCAAATGATCTTTTTTCATGGAACTTTTCATGGGATACCTACACATACAGCTTTGAAAGATTTAATATTTCTTTCACCTCAAGGAAGCAGAATTTTCCAGCAAGTGAGCAATTAACAGCTATTAAGAGGTTCTAAAATATCAGCATTCATATATTAGTACAGTCCTAAAATTCCCCTCAGCAGAAGAGTCTTTCTCAAGTTCAGTTATTATTGCAATTACAGTAGACAGGAGCTGCTGGCATTTCCTCAGCAGCATCTGCAAGGGAAAAGGGAAAAAACCCAAATTTTGCTTCTTTTTTTTCCCAATCCAAACCTGTGTTTATAAATGTCTGTGAGCTTTGTTTCCACCTCAGGGCCCAGCTGAACCCGTCATTAAATTGCTTTTTGGAGCAACACCAGCGTGAGTGGGTTCTGCTGCTGGGATGGATGCAGAAAACTCCACTTTTTGTGCTTTTCAAGGCACCACTTTTCATGTTCTTCTGTATTTTCACCTGTACCTGACCCGCTTTCACCTGCAGGTGTTGGCAGCTGCATTCTCTGCTTGAAGCTCAGTAGCCACAGCTTGCAAAATCTGGTTTGCTGCAGGATTTTCTGTGCTGTCCTGTGGGGAGTTCAGGTTCAGAAGATGTTAATTCCTGTTCTTTTGCCTCAAAAAGGGAAAATGTGGGATGATACTGGAATGGCTGCTCGGATTTAAGGAGGAAAATTGTACTGTAGTGACCCATCTGGGAAAACAAGAGCCCCACTAAAGATATTTCTGTGCCAAAAGGGAAGTGAAACTCATTCAAATACAGAGTTTATCCTCAAACAGTTCCTTCAGCATCCTGGGGCAGATTGCTTGGACAGTTCCTCGTACAGCTGGGAATTTGGGGGTGATTTGGGGTTAGGATGTTCAGCAGAAAGGGCTGTTCCTGCCTGAATTCCCAGGGATTTTTTACTTCAAGGTAAGGACTCAGTAATGTGGGGGTAATCCTGGGGCAGCTCTGCAAATTTACCCTCCTTGGAGAAGCCCAAGTTTCATTTTTACTGGATGTTCTGCACTGCTCTGGGGTTTATTCCTCAAAACTTCTGTAGAAATGGCTCTGAGATTGGAAAAAAACTAAGGTTTCAATGTACTGCTGATGATTGGAAAACACAGGAGAAGAATGAGGGAATAATCAGAGTTTTCCCAGTATGAAAGAATTTCAGGTAGCTTGACTGATAATTATGAATTTCAGGTAGCTTGACTGTTAATTTTGAATTTCAGGTAGCTTGACTGATAATTACAAATTTCAGGTAGCTTGACTGTTAATTTTGAATTTCAGGTAGCTTGACTGATGATTATGAATTTCAGGTAGCTTGACTGTTAATTTTGAATTTCAGATAGTTTGGCTGTTAATTATCAGGGAGGAATGATGAGGGTTGGTGAGTCACGAGCACGAAAGGGAGCCCAGGCTGTGGGGCTGGTGCTTTTCCACATCTCTTTTAGGGAATCAGATGTTAATAAATATAAAGAAATAATAAATTTCTCCCTTCCCTCCTAGGAGCTGTCGATGGGAGCAGCGCCCTGACGTGCCAGCTGGATTCCTGAGCTCCTGTGTGACTGCTGGAGCTGCTGCTGCTGGAATAAGGAGCTGTCCTCAGTTCTTGGGCTGGCCCAGAGGCAGCTCCTGGGTGCTGCATGCAGGTCCTGGACGTGCTGGAGACCATGGGGATTGGCAAGAACACCACGTCCAAATCCGTGGAGGCAGGAGGCTCCACCGAGGCCAAATACGAGGATGAGTCCAAGCACCCCACCTTCTTCACCCTGCCTGTGAGTGATTCCTGCTCTCAGGCTCTGTCTGAAGCAGGGGAAAATCTTCCAGTTGTGGGGTACAAACCCTTTATTTCCACCAGCAGACAGAGAGAAAACTCTGCTCCCCCGAGTATTTGTGTATTCCCAGGATGTGCAGCAGCCCAGGCACTGCACTGGATTGTCCTCCTGCAGCAGAGTCATGGGATCACTGAGGTTGGAAAAGACCTCCAGGATGGCCAGGTCCAACCTGTGACTGATCCCCACCAAAAATCACCAAGTGTCACCTCTGCTCTGGTTCTGAGCAGCTCCAGGCATGGGGACACATGGGCAGCAGTGCCAGTGCTTAACAACAGTGCAGAAACATTCCCCATGTGCATCCTGGGGCTGTTCCCTCTCCTCCTGTCCCTGTTCCCTGGGATAAGATCCCAAATCCCCCCTGCCAGGGACTTGTGCAGAGCCAGAAATTCCCCCTGAGCCTCCTTTGCTCCAGCCTGAGCCCCTTCCCAGCTCCCTCAGGAATTCTCCATTCCCTTCCCAGCTCCCTCAGGAATTCTCCATTCCCTTCCCAGCTCCCTCAGGAATTCTCCAGCCCCATCCCCAGCTCTGTTCCCTGCCCTGGACACACTCCAGCCCCTCAGCAGAGTTTCCTTGCCCAGCTGGGCTCACGCCCAGCCCATTTTGACCACCTGAGCTGCTCAGTGGAGGCAGCAGCAGGGAGACATTTGCTGCTCTTCTGCTTACTCCCATTTTCAGTTGAATTTTTTTTGCTGTAAAGCTCAAGAACTCTTCCAGGCAGCCTGCTGCTGGTTCCCCCTGCCCCAAGCTGACACTGCCCAGCCTTCCAGGAGCTCTGTGAGATGTTTTAAGGAGCTCTCGATGATATTTTTAAGGAGCTCTGGGTGATGTCTGTCAGGTCTCCCTCTGTCCCCAGCCCTGCTGTTACAGAAACGATGACTTGCCACGCTCCTCATGTTTCCTGACAAAATATCAGAGGCACCAAGGGAGAAAACAGCGAGATACCAGTCGTGGTGGCAGAGGAAAGGTTTATTTTAAAAGACCTCACATTTTTATTCCGTTTTTCAGGTGGTCATAAACGGCGGAGCCACCTCCAGCGGTGATCAGGACACCGAGGACACGGAGCTGATGGCCATCTACACCACAGAGAATGGCATAGCAGAAAAGGTACCTGGGGCTTCCCTGCTAGCTGAGAGCTCATTCTTGCTCTCCCAGCTCGTGATTTGCCCACAGCAGCCGCCCCAGATTGAGGTTTCCTGTCTCAGAGCTGCTGACTTGCAGATCCACATCACCCCGGGGAGTTGTGCCCTCATGACTCCTGGTCACACTCCTTGGTTGCAGCACTTGGGGCATGACTCAGGAAATGGTGGAAGAAGTTCATGCCTTTAATTGGGATTTTTTCCAGCTTTTTTTTTCTCCATTCCTTCATTCTTTCATTCCTTCTGTCCAAAATCCTGCAAGCAGAGATGGTATGAACCTGAACTTCTGTTTAAAATAAGGATGAGGATTATGGTAAATCTGAGTTTCTGAAATACTCAGACTGGCTTTGTAGTAAGGCCTTGTCTCTGAAAAATCTCAACCTGACCAAAGTTTTTCAAATGTCCTAATTGAAACAAGAGCAAAACTCCTGTTCCAAGCAGGGACAGGATGATGCTCCTTCCTCCAAGGGCAAGGATGACATCAAGGGATGCAGCTGATGCTTTCTAACTCAGACACCAAAACTCCTGAATTTCAGATTTAAATTCAGTGTCAGTGCTGGCTTCCAGAGGAGGCTGCTGCTCTCCCAGCTCCCTCTGCCCCCGTGTGTCACTCACATCCCCACAGCCATCCCCAGCACACTCACGTTCCCTGGGCAGGTTTTTGTTGAGCTGGGAGAGTTCCTGATGGCTGATTTTTGGAGCATGCTGGGGCTGGAGTGGAGAGGCACAATCTGATAAAAGCCTTGAGTAAAAGGTGTTTGGGTGGAATTGTGCAACGAGATAAGCGATCTCCAGACGAGCATTCCCAGCTTCACCGAGTGTGCTTTTCTCCCTTCCACCTGATCCCTGTGATCACAGCTGGGGGTGATGGAGAATAGTCCACCCAAAACAGACCAGGAGCTTCTGATTAACCAGCTCTCCTCCAGTTAAAGCTTTGCTGTGGCTCCCAGTGAAGGAACAGGGGTGGCACAGGATCCCTGGGGCTGCCCCTGCATCCCTGGAAGTGCCCAAGGCCAGCTTGGACAGGGCTTGGAGCCACCTGGGGATGGTGGGAGGTGTCCCCTGCCCATGGCAGGGGTGGCACTGGCCCTTGAGGTCTTGGCAAGCCAGGCTGGATGTCAGCAGGAATTTTTTCTGGGATTGGAAAGGGCGTCCCAGGGCAGTGATGGAGTCCCCATCCCTGGAGCTCTTCAAGAAATGTGTGTTTGGAGGTGTGGTTTGGTGGTGACCACCACCAAATGGAGAAAAACCCACGTGAAAAAAAACTAAGATTACCTGAGGGAGCTGGGAAGGGGCTGGAGAATTCCTGAGGGAGCTGGGAAGGGAATGGAGAATTCCTGAGGGAGCTGGGAAGGGAATGGAGAATTCCTGAGGGAGCTGGGAAGGGAATGGAGAATTCCTGAGGGAGCTGGGAAGGGAATGGAGAATTCCTGAGGGAGCTGGGAAGGGGCTCAGGCTGGAGCAAAGGAGGCTCAGGGGGAATTTCTGGCTCTGCACAAGTCCCTGCCAGGGGGATTTGGGATTTTATCCCAGGGAACAGGGACAGGAGGAGAGGGAACAGCCCCAGGCTGTTTGTGGTCCTGATGATCTGAAAGGGCTTTTCCAGCTTTAACTATTCCATGATTCACATCCTTAATTTTTTTTCACCCGGGTTTTTCTTTAGAGAATTGGGTCAGGAGAGAATCTGTTGATTTTTCCAGTCAGTGAAAAGCTGTCAGTGGTGCTGCAGGAGGGGCTGGGCAGGGGCAGCTCCCTGGAGAGGATTTCTCAGTGCCCCAAGTGCTTTCTCCGAAATGAGAATTTCTCCATTTCGCTTTTTGCTGCATCCCCCCAGCACTGCACTCCCAGAACGATCCCAGTGGATTTTTTTCATCCCAGTGGATTTGTTTTCCCCCCAGAAGGCTGAGCTGAGCCAGGGGGGGAGGGTGCCAGGCTGAGTTTGGCTGGCTGGCCTTGCAGGTGGCTCCAAGTGGAGATGACCTCAGCCTAATCCGTGGATGTGTTGGGATTTTTGGAGAAGCAGAGACCATTTGAGGCAGTCACGAGTCTGGCAGAGTTCCCAGGCTCTGTGAGAGGCAGCTTCACGTGGGTTTGCCGTGTCTTGGGCTGGATTAGGGCAGAGCAGTTGTGTAAGGTTATTTTTTTATTTTTTTTTTTTTTAGTTACTCGATCTGAAATGACAAAACCTGATACTTCCTCCTTCCTGCTTTTATTGTTGTGCTGGGTTTGTTCCCAGGAATTTCCAAAGCAGAGGGTTTGGATGGAAAGGATTCCACTTCTTTGTGGCAGAGAAATGACACAGAGTTTTTTGTTTCCTTGTGTTAAATCCGCAGGGTGTTGATGTGTCAATGTCTGTGGGCAGTTGTCCATTGGCTCTCACAGCTCAGCCTTGCCCAAATTCCTGGGGAAATTTAAATTCCTGCAGGAATTCTGCCTGACTGATGGAAATGGGTTGGGGATTAATTTGGGTATAATAATTAGCATTTTTCCTGGCTGCATAAATGCAGGGGTGGGGAGGGGGGAAGAAGAAAAATGATGAATTCTTTGGCTGAAAGTGGTTAACCAGGATGAAATTGGGTAAGAGCAAAGCAGGGAAGCAATTATCATAATGAGGATTTATTTTTGCCAGTCATTTTGGTCTCTGATGCAAGGACAGAGCTTTCCTTCGTTCCAATTCTTCCCTATTTTCTTTATTTCTGTGTTTGGTTTTGTGGTTTGGTGGGGTTTTTTTTAACAGTTTTGTCATGATGAACCCATTTTTGGGCACTTTTTGGCTGCCAGATCAGTTCTGTCACAAACCAGCAATTACAAATAAACAAGCAGGGAGTGGCTGTCAGAAGGGAGTGCGTTGGGTACAAATCCAGGAGCTGGATGTGAAAGGCTTTGAAATCATCATCACAAATCAGCATCACTTGGGGGTTGCCTGGCAGTTGAAATTCCCTTTATTCCACGCAGCAATAACCTGCTGGTGTCCCTTCTTCCTGCAGAGCTCCCTGGCTGAGACCCTGGACAGCAGTGGCAGCTTGGATGCCCAGAGGACTGACATGATTTACACCATTGAGGATGTTCCTCCCTGGTACCTCTGCATATTTCTGGGCTTGCAGGTACATCCCAAAACAGTTCTTTCTTCTCTAACTTGGAGTTTCTCGAGGATTTTATGTCCATTTTGTGTGTGGGGGAGTTTTACCTTCCTCCACTCTCAGGTTCTGGAGCTCATCCAGGTGATTGCTCTGAGAATGGTTTGAGTTTTGATTTGTGAGATTCACTTCAATATTTAGAGTTGTTAGTAAATGAGTGAGGAAAGGCTCAGTGGTCCAAACAAATACATTCCAAATTATTCCTGCCTTTTCCTCAAGGACAGGCAGTTCTCTAGGAATTCCATTTCTACTTGTGTGTGGAGTATGGTGAAGATTTCTTTCTCGTTCTGCTTTTGATGTGCCTGGCTTGAGGAAGAATTAAGGATTATCCATCTGCTGGTCCTCGGGAGCTCCTGTGTGTGTGCTCCAGGTTGATTTGTGAGCCAGGGGATGTGACTGGAGGTATTTCTGGGCTCTCAGGAGAGTTACCTGGGTGTCTCCTCACGCAGCTCTGGAGGTGTTTCAGTTCCCTCTGTGTCTCATTAAGGACTTTGGGATTTGGGTTCTTTTTCCCTTTGAACTGAAGATTGACCAGAGGGAGTTTTCTCTTGTTTGGTCTCAGTTGTTTATTTTTCCTTATCAGCATTACAAGGAGAAAAATAGAAAAGGGGTAAAATGGCCAACAAAGATCCTCTTTGAGGTCTTTTATCTGTCCATTTACCCAATTAACAGGTGCCAACTCAATTATCTTTATTAGTGACCCAATGACCCAACACCTCTGTGCTGCTCTGTGACATTTTCTACCCAATCACCTAAAACCACCCAAAACCCCCAGGAAAAGAACATGAAGAAGAAAGAAGAAGGATGAGAGACAACCCCCTAAATCCTCATCCTGTCTCTTGTTCTCTAAACTTTTTCACCCAGTGATTTAAAAAACTTTCTAATTTACACACTTACACTTTTCCTGTCTAACTTTAGCATTTGTTCTCATGTATCACCATGAACACACACACTCATGAATTTCATGTTCTATGAATTTCATGTTCTATGAATTTCATGTTCTATGAATTTCATGTTCTATGAATTTCATGTTCTATGAATTTCACGTGATATGAATTTCACGTGATATGAATTTCACGTGATATGAATTTCACGTTCTATGAATTTCACGTTCTATGAATTTCACGTTCTATGAATTTCACGTTCTATGAATTTCAGTGTTTCTTTGAATCCTAAACTAAATATTAGAAACAGGGGCACACAGTGTGCATCTCAGACTGCAACCCCTGTGGATCTGACAGGAATCAGCCAGGAGATCTCAGGGTGACGGGAGAGCAGAGCTCAGGGAATGAATGGAATGAATGGAATGATTGACTTTGGTGTCCCCTCCCTGCTCCCCCAGCACTACCTGACGTGTTTCAGCGGGACCATCGCCGTGCCCTTCCTGCTGGCCGATGCCATGTGCGTGGGCTTTGACCAGTGGGCCACCAGCCAGCTGATCGGGACCATCTTCTTCTGCGTGGGCATCACCACCCTGCTGCAGACCACCTTCGGCTGCAGGTCAGAGCTGGGGCTGCCCCTGGGCGACCGCTGGGATCCCCCAGCAGCCAGGGAGGGGGTTCCAGAGGAGGAGCACAAAACTGGCAGCTGCAGGTGATCAGGGAAAGCTGCTTCCAAAGAGGGATCTGAAATAAAATATAAAATATAAAATATAAAATATAAAATATAAAATATAACATAAAATCCCCCAGCAGCCAGAGAGGGGATTCCAGAGGAGGAGCACAAAACTGGCAGCTGCAGGTGATCAGGGAAAGCTGCTCCCAAAAAGGGATCTGAAATAAAATATAAAATATAAAATATAACATAAAATCCCCCAGGAGCCAGGAGAGGGGATTCCAGAGGAGGAGCACAAAACTGGCAGCAGCTGCAGAGGGAAAACTGCTCCCAAAAAGGGATCTGAAATAAAATATAAAATACAAAATATAACATAAAATCCCCCAGCAGCCAGAGAGGGGATTCCAGAGGAGGAGCACAAAACTGGCAGCAGCAGAGGGAAAGCTGCTCCCAAAAAGGGATCTGAAATAAAATATAAAATATAAAATATAAAATATAAAATATAAAATATAAAATAAAATCCCCCAGCAGCCAGGAGTGGGGGATTCCAGAGGAGGAGCACAAAACTGGCAGCAGCTGATCAGGGAAAGCTGCTCCCAAAAAGGGATATAAAATAAAATATAAAATATAAAATATAATCCCCCAGCAGCCAGGAGTGGGGGATTCCAGAGGAGGAGCACAAAACTGGCAGCAGCAGAGGGAAAGCTGCTCCCAAAAAGGGATCTGAAATAAAATATAAAATATAAAATATAAAATATAAAATATAATCCCCCAGCAGCCAGGAGTGGGGGATTCCAGAGGAGGAGCACAAAACTGGCAGCAGCAGCTGATCAGGGAAAGCTTTGGGAAAGCTGCTCCCAAAAAAAGAGGGATCTGAAATGAAATAAAACATCCCAAGAGTGAGAAAATCCAGCAAGGAGAGGGGAGGAGGGAGAGGGAAGAACCCAGCTGAGCAGGCAGAAGTTTTCCTGGAGGATGAGCACTTCCCACACCTGGGTAAAGGGGAGCTAACTGCAGTATTTTAATTAGTTTCTTGAATTAAATTCTTGGCAACGTTTAAGATGTGGTGTTGGCAAGAACAGGGTGTTGTTTTATTAAGATAAATCTTTATAAAAACCTGTGTTCCACAGTGACCACTGCACAAAAGGGGTTTTTTTTTTTCACCCCTCCCAGCTAATCTTGGATTTTTTTATCACTTACTAAAGAGGGATTTAGGGCTCATTCAGAGAGGAGGGGCCCAAAATTAACAGTGCCATCATTTTGAAATCCTCTTTTCTTTCCATGTAATCCCACCCCTGCCCAGGATTTTTCCCTTTTCAGTGGCTCCCACTTGCACTGTACTTAACATTTTCATATCCCTGAAGGCCAAATTCTGTTTGGCTCTTAAAATAACTTGTATTTAAGGAGGAAATTTCCACGCCTGGATGTTTTATAACTATTCCCCATGTGATGGGGAGGGGTTTTATATAAAGCTGGGAATTGGATACAGCAGCACAGGCCTCTCAATGAGATTTGCAAGTATTCATTGGCAAGATCTGCCAACTGCGAAGTATTTCAGCAAATAAAGCTTTCAAAAGATCAAATTCCACGCTTTAAGGGTCCTTAAAGATGGATTTATCTCGATTATGAGTGGAGTTGTGGTCAGTTTGGTACCCAGAGCAGTTCTAGGAATCCCAGCTATTCCTGGAGTTATGTAGCCAGCCCCAGCTCTGGCAGGGCTTCATTAGTGGGTAATTAATTAGTGGCTCTGAGACCGTCAAATGCAGATTTAATCCACGCTTTCTCACATCTGTGGGACATGTGAACATAATGAGACATTTCCAGATGTCAGAAAAACTCTTGTGGTTGCCAAAACGGAGCAACTCGATGATTTAGGAGTGAAATTTAAATGGTATTTAGAGCTTTTTGGTGCTTTAGCTGCCTTAAAATCTGTAAGTCACGTTCCAAACTTGACAGAGAGAGACACATCTTGCTTGACTGATTTGGAGCAATTTGTTAAAAAAAATCGTTAAAAAGTAAATTAATTTTCATTTGTTGCCTGGCATAAGGGGAAAAAAAAAATAAAAAAAAAGCAGATTTTGAGGCTTTTGGGAGGTGCCCCAGTTACCTGTGGCAGGTAAGAGCTGAGCAGGAGGTGCTGGGGTGTGATTTCCCAAAGGGATGGAGAGCAGCCCGAGCTGGCAGCAGTGACCTCAGCAGCAGAGAATGTGTTTTGTGTGTTTGCCCGAGCTCAGAGGGGGCTGTGGGGCTGTGTAGGTGGGGATGGAGCAGTAGCAGCTTGTTCCAGGTGTTGCACACCTGCCATGGGGCTTTGCTTAATGAGCCTGGCACCAAGGGGGTGAATCATTCCCCTGGGCCAGCAGCCCTGGCTTCCCCGCAGACAGAGCTGGGCTTTGTGCTTGAAGGAGCTCCCAGAGGGAGTTAAATCCACTCAGCCATGCCTGGTTGGCTCCTGGAGTTGATAAAATTCGAGTTTCCAATGGAATTTCTAACATTGGGTGGGTTTGAAGTTGCCCAAACTGCTCCAGCTTCTGCCTGAAAACTTGACAGCTACCGTTCAACACGCCTCTGGTTTGATCCTTTCTGTGCTCAGGGTGCATTTTCCCCTCCACACTTCTCCTCCTTGGAGCATTTTCTGATCTTTACCTGAACCTGAGCAGTTCTTTCTCCTGTAGAACAGCCCCTGAGCGATTCCCTGTGTCACAGCTTGGCATCTCCTGTTGGAATCTCATGGCCCTTGCACTCACATCAGTATCAGCAGGATAGTTCAGAGTGCATCTCTAGCATCGGGTTATCCGTTACACAGGGTAACAAATTGGGATTATTCTCTGGCTGCTCTGAGTTGTGGGCAATGATCACTCCTGGAGCTGTGAATTCAATAAATCGAATCCAGTGTGTTCAATAAATCCATAATGGGTGCAGGTAAAGATCATCTTTAGATCTTCAAAACCATTTGGGAAGTGGAAACACCAAGGCCAAGAATGTGATCTGGAAATTCTCGTCGTGTTTGTGTTTATTGGTGGCAACCACTTGGAACATCTAATCTGCTGCCATCGACCCAGCAGTTATTGACACACACATCTAGAAATGAGTGTACTGGGAGTGCTGCCCAGGGAAGGGATGGAAAATGGGAATTCTCTCCAGAGAATTCCCTGTGCTGGGGTGGGAAAATCTGTTCCCCCAGCTCAGTGTCCATCAGTGCCCGGCCCTTGGGGTTACCCCCTTGGTAATTTGGCTTTTTGGCTTGTGAAATCTTTGTACTTCTCTGACTGGGTTTTTTTTTTTGGGGTTTTTTTTGGGTGAGAAATCCTCTTATTTCCCAGTTTTAGGGTGGTCTGAGTGCCCACCCACCCAGGATGTCACCATCTCTCCTCTCCCTTTCCAGGTTACCCCTGTTCCAAGCCAGTGCTTTTGCGTTTTTAGCACCTGCCAGAGCGATTCTCTCTCTGGAGAAGTGGAAGTGCAATAACACAGGTAATTATTGTTTATCCTGGGTCAGGTTTAAGTGACAAATGTGGAGTGCAGCTGACATGAAAACTGGGAGTAACGAGCAGGGAATATGGAAAACCTCTCTTTTTACAGTGTTTAAAAATACTGTGCCACAGAAGATTCCTAAAAATGGGAATTTTTTTTTTAATAGAAAAACGTTGACAAAGGAAAGGTAAACGTGGCATAAAATAATTCTTCTGTTCCATTTGCATTCCGTTAATGTTCCAAACATTTGGAAATAGCGAGCCCAACTGAATCCTTTGAAGTTGTGAGTGGGAGGGAGTTTGAGCAATGAGCAGCTTCACCTCCAGACCTGGATTTTCCCCTGTTTAAGTCATACCTGACAGGTTTTGACAAGATTTGGATGTTCTTTTTCACTCTTTCTCCGCTGATGTCGTCATCCTGGCAGGTTTGATCTTCAGAGGGAAAAGATTCTGGGATGGGAGCATTTGGATTTTCAGTCCAATCCAGTTTTTCGATCTGGATTGGACTGGATTGGACTGGATTGGACTGGACTGGACTGGACTGGCCTGGGAGGTGGAAATGACTCTGGCAGTTTCCTGTTCAGTGGGGGTGGTTACTCAGTACCAGGGCAGTGGGAATCAGGCTGCTCACTCCTGACTGAAGCTCTTCCCCGAGCTCCTCTGGACTCTAATAATTAAATTTCTATTACTTGTGTGTTGATACATCTCTGTGAACTCACATTCAAGATGTGATCAATGCCCAGCTCGTTGAAATGAGCTGATAACCCTGGGTGGAGTTTTCCCCACAGCTCCACATTTCCAAAAAGAGCTTTGCTGCGTCTTCCTGCTGAACCTTTTCACCTTCCAGAGCAGCAGGCTGGGGCTGTGCTCATTCCCTGAGCTGGGAACAGCAAGCTCTGGGGTTTGTGATTGCAGGATTGGAGTGGGGAGAGGATTCCTGACCTTTCTGTTTTCCCTCCTGGGAGCAGAGGCCTGGGAGGGCTCTCGGGGACGCTGAGCTGGTGTCACTTCACCTGGGACAGAATTCCTCCCTGTGTGAATTTGGGGCTCATTTATCAGGCACTTGAGGAGGGATTTGTTGTGTGTGAAATGCTGGCAGAGTGGCTGGGGAACAAACCCCTGTGTGTTTTTTCTCTCCCTTGGCAAGATCTGACAGTTACAAACGGAACGGCGGAGCTGCTGCACACGGAGCACATCTGGTACCCCCGGATACGAGAGGTAATGTGGGACTTGCCTTTAGCTGTCACTCCTCTCCACTTCCAGCTAAGTTTCTCACTTAATCATCCGTGTCTTCTTGTCTTTAAGTTGCTAATTTCTTGTTTTCTCTGCAATCTCCATTTGGATATATCTCCCTTTCCTCATTTCACAGAAGTCTTCCATCTTCTCCACCTGTTCATTGCTGGACAGCAAATACCAGGAGTTAGTTACCACATTCCCAAAAAAAGCTGTGCAGTCAGCTGCTCCAGTGAGATGAAAACTCCTAGTTTCCATCTGTGTTCAGCTGCTGCCAGGCCTCTTGCCTGCTGTGCTGGCCCCTGGAAGGTGAATCCGCAGTTAGGGAAATCTGGTTCCTTCCCAAGTGTCTTTAAGTTGGAGACTTCTTGCGATGAGAGGTTGAGACTTTGTGGAATCCCTGGAAAAGTCCTTCTCCACTCGCAGTGTGAGGTTGTGGTGCCCTGCAGGGCAGGCTGAGGGCTGTGCCACGCCAGGGTGGCAGGTAGAGTAGTCCAAAGGAAGGCGTGTGTCATGGAATTGATCTCCCATCCCGTTGCTTTGGGCTGCCAACTTTTTCTTAATTAAAAACAACCCCTCTCTCTTCCCCATGTTCAAACCATAGCTACATCCTGCCAAGAGCCCTGCAGCCAAGAGGGCTGACAGTCTCCTGAGACCACAACGCTGCTCTAATCCAGCTTCTAAGGAGCACTTGTGACCAATGCAGCACACACTCTGCCCCTAGGAGCTAGGAGCATCACCTCGTGGCGCACCAACCCTTGCCGTTCGATCTGAGAGCTTAAAGGTTAGCCTGGACCCCAGGTCTCCTGTCTGACAGTGTGATGTGCTTTCCACACAGCTTCCAGACTGGCCCACTGGTCTGTTGTGTAATAGTTTTGTGGAGAAAACCATAAGTGTTATGCTTAAAGCGATAAGTCACTTAAACATAATGAGCTGTTTTATGACTGGGGAAAAAAAAAATAATAATAATTATTTTTTTTTTATTTTTTTTTTTTGCTGAGTTCTTCTGTGTCACTGAATTCTTTTAACTGCAGTTTGTAACCCAGAGCAGAAAAACAAATTTCCTGTCAGATGGGACTGAGCTGCCTCTCTGCCCTGTTGTGTGTTCAGATCCAAGGTGCCATCATCATGTCGTCGCTGATCGAGGTGGCCATCGGGCTGCTGGGGCTGCCCGGGGCTCTGCTGCGCTACATCGGGCCCCTGACCATCACCCCCACCGTGGCCCTCATCGGCCTCTCGGGCTTCCAGGCTGCTGGGGAGAGAGCTGGCAAGCACTGGGGCATCGCCATGCTGTGAGTACCCTGCTGGGGAGGCAGGGTTTGGGGTGGTGGGGAGGCTGATGAGAAACAGGAACCTGGATGGGTCCAGCTGGAAATGTGGGAGTCAGGATTGAGAGCAGCAGCTCAGGAGAAAAAGCCTGAAAAAGCTTTTCCCTGGGAAGAAATCCTGCCCTGGGAGGGTGAGGAGGTCCCAGAGGAGCTGGGGCTGCCCCCGGATCCCTGTGAGTGCCCAAGGTTGGATGGGCAGCTGGAAAATCAGCTTCAACTGATTCAACTTCAACAGCAGCTGGAAAATCAGCTCCCAGAGTATTTACAGGAATCATGGAATGATTTGGGTTGGGCAGGAGATTAAAAACCACCCAGTGCCACCCCTGCCACGGCAGGGACAGCTCCCACTGGCCCAGGGGGCTCCAAGGCTGGTCCAGCCTGGCCTGGGACACTCACAGGGATTGGGAAACCTCTGCAGAAAGGCCACACACACAAAGACACAGCAAATCTGAGCTAAACCCAGCATTGTCCCTCTGCCAGTGCACAAAGTCACAGAAATTAGACTGAAATTAGAGAAATAATGTCTCAGAGCAGCTGCCAGGGTCTGAAGGGGTTCCAAGGAAGCTGGAGGGGGGCTGCTCGTCCAGGACAGGGAGTGATGGGCTCAGATTGGAAAGGGGAACTTCAGGTTAAATACACAGAAGGAATTCCTCCCTGCGAGGAGCTGGGATGGAATTCCCAGAGCAGCTGGGGCTGCTCCATCCCTGTGAGTGTCCCAGGCCAGGCTGGATGGGCCTGGAGCCCCCTGGCACAGTGGGAGCTGTCCCTGCCCACGCCTCCTCCATGGAACTGGGGGGGCTTTGAGGTTCCTTCCAACCCAAACCATTCCATTCCTTTTCCCATTCCATTCCCATTCCACTCCCATTCCATTCCTATTCCATTCCCATTCCTATTCCATTCCCATTCCTATTCCATTTCCATTCCCATTTCCATTCCCATTTCCATTCCCATTTCCATTCCCATTTCCATTCCCATTTCCATTCCCATTCCATTTCTATTCCCATTCCCATTCCTATTCCATTCCTATTCCATTCCTATTCCATTCCTATTCCATTCCTATTCCATTCCCATTCCATTCCCATTCCATCCCATTCCCATTCCATTCCCATTCCATTTCTATTCCATTCCACTCCCATTCCCATTCCATTCCCATTTCCATTCCATTCCCATTCCCATTCCCATTCCATTCCCATTCCATTCCCATTCCACTCCCATTCCCATTCCATTCCATTCCTCTCCCCAGCAGAGGGGACAGGACAGTGGCCAAAAACGAGGTGTGAGGAGCAGGATTTGATCAGCAGGAGTTGATCTGGGAGCCGCTGGCTGGGAGGAGCTGAGTGCTGTAGAAAAGGTTTAACAGGACACCAAGGAGAGGAAATAGAGTGAATAATTTGTATAAATAGAGTGAATAATTTGTATAAATAGAGTGAATAATTTGTATTTCTGGGCTGGCATTGCCTGTTCCCTCTCCTGCAGCAGCAGCAGGTGAATGCCACTGGTGCCTCTGCCATGGTTTGCTCACCTCTGGCCAGGAGAAATTGATTTTTTGTGGTGACAGAGGGCACAAGAATTGCCACAAACGCCATCAGTGGCCGGGCCACGAGCAGAGAGATTCCTGCCAAGGGCACAAAGAGGCTTTTAGAGGGAATTTCAGGGCCTGAGGTGTGTGTGCCATCAGCTGTAGGAGCCAGGGGGATGAAAGAATGAAAAGGAATAAGTGAGGAAAAAGAGAAGACAAAAGCTCCCCGTGTGGGGAAACAGCCAAATAAAGCTGGGAACCCCATTTTGGGGAGAAAAGAGGCTGAAACAGCTCTGGAGGCAGGAGGAATGCCTTGATGAGATCAGATTGTGATCTCACTAATCTGTTTGCACAGTGCTTTGAACATGTAAAGTATTCTGTAAGTGCAGCTTATGATTAAAAGGGCTCTTTAATTCTCTTTTATCTTGGGTGTTGGCATCAGGGCTGTTTCTGTGATTCTATTATATTAAGCAGCTGATCCAAAAGAACCTTTTATTTGCCTGTAAAACAAATTCTGTGCAAGTTGGGACTCAAGTTAAATGAATCAAACATGGAAACGTGTAATTAAAGTTGACATTTCTGCAGATGGGGAAAAAAAAAATAAATAAAATAAATCAATTCAGGAGCAAGATTTAAATATTAGCCAGTCAATAAAGTATTTCTGGCTTCTGCCATGCAGAAAAATGTTCTCTGGGTGGTTGAGAACAACTGTGAGATGTGGCTGCTGGAATTGGCCTGGCTGCTGTGGTGAGAGGAAGGTTTTTTCTCCCTGGCCCTGCAGGATCAGCTGTGGCAGAGCTGCAGATCCATCTTGGACAGGATTCCCAGTTTCCCAAACAGATTCCTGACCTGACTCCTTCCATTATTCCCTAAAGCACTTTTCACTGTGATTTGTGAAAAAGGGAATTATCCCTGAGCTGGGCTTTGCTTGTTTATCCAAATTTTCCTGGGGCATTCAGATTTTTGGTGATGTTTCCCCTCTGATAGAAAACCCACTGCAATAATGGAATATTGTATTTTTTTTTTACCAACTCTGTGCTAAATAAAATCCAAATCTGCCTGTCCTCAGGGCTGGTGTGTGAGGGAGTGGAGCCCATCCTCCCATGGTGGATTTTTGGGGCAGATTTTGGGGCAGATTCTGGGATTTCCTGCATGGAAAAAATGTGCATTCTCCTTTTCTCCTGGACTTCCAAGGGCTGTAAACTCCCCTCCTCACTCCTTGGAGACTGAAAGAGAGGAAAACCGGTTTGTGCCTGATCCAGGGCACAGAAGAGGGATTCTCCTCTCTGAAAATCCTCGTTTTATTTTTCAACTCAGCTGATACAAAAAACACAATCTCAGATTTCAGCAGGGCTTTGCTTCTCCAGTCTTTGGGAGGCCCTTTCAGAGCAGAACTCTGGCTCGTTCAGAATTCAGGAGTGCCCTGGCTTCTGATTTTTCTGTGCATTTTAGCTGTAAAAAATTAATTTTTAATGTCTGGAGGAGCTTGGCAGTTTCATGGTGCCTAATAATTGAGATATCTAATACTGATGAACTCCTCTTTGCAGCAAATCTTGGGGATTTCTGGCATTCTGCTTCACTTGCAGCTGTTTGGTGAAATATTCACATTGAAAAGAATGGATTCTGAAAATTTCCCTGGCAGAAATGTTTGAAGTGCTTTTGGAGTTTCGTGCAAACTTTGAAATGTGAAAATTAACTGTGTGCAGGCCTCCAATTTTGCTGTTTCCCCCCAGTTTTGTGCTTTACAACCCTGGATCACAGGAATTTTAACTCAAAATCTCCCTTCAGTCTGGGCCCGTTCCTGATTCATTTGATCTGAATGCTGACTTTTGCAGGATTTTAAATTTAATCCTGTTTTGGCATTTGAGGAAATAATAATTCTGATCATTTTGCTGCCTTAAATCGAAATATCTGCATTTGTGTTGTGCCTCCAAGGGGTCTGAAGAGAAGAATTCATCGTGTATGGTTGCTAATGACGTTTCTCTCCTGTTCCCACCCTCCTCCTCTTCTCCTCAGGACTATTTTCCTGGTGTTGTTGTTTTCCCAGTATGCCAGAAATGTCAAATTCCCCTTGCCCATTTATAAATCCAAGAAGGGATGGACGGCATACAGGCTGCAGCTTTTCAAGATGTTCCCTGTAAGTTCAACTTTTTCTTCCTTTGGGGAAAAAAACCCCAAAAATTTCTGTTTCAGGGTTGTTTTTTACTTTGGTTTTGATTTTTCTTAGCAGCAGAACGCTCAGGGTGGTGAGATAAAAGCTGAAATGGATTTATTGAATCCAAATTAAATTAAACACGGAAATATTCTGATTTTGTGGCCGCTCTGCTGAGGGGCTGCTGGGGATGTGGGAGGGGAGGAAGGGATGGATCTTTGTGCAGCGAGAGGCTAAACAGAGCCCTGAGAACTGCTGATAACTGATGGATATCACCTCTTTTCACCTGAACAATTCCCTGCTGCTCGTGCTTCCCCAGCCTTCCAGCTGCGATCCTCGACGGGGAGAGAGGATCGCTCTGACCCCAGGGGCTTTGTTCAGCACCTTCCTCAGGCTCACCAATCACCCCCTCCCCTGCCCCTCCTGTCCCCCAGATCATCCTGGCCATCCTGGTGTCGTGGCTGCTGTGCTTCATCTTCACGGTGACCGACGTCTTCCCCCCGGACAGCTCCAAGTACGGCTTCTACGCGCGCACGGACGCGCGCCGCGGCGTGCTGCTGGTGGCCCCCTGGTTCAAGGTGCCCTACCCCTGTAAGTGTGCCCAGCACAGCCATTCCCCCTGCTCCAGGGGCTCTGTGGAGCGTTCCAGAACCCCTGGATGATCCATCTGGGAATGGGAGTACTGCTGGTGGCGGGGCTGGGGCTCTGGAGGGTCCCTTCAATCCAGTTCCAGGGTTCTGGCATGCAGCAATCAATTGGCTCTTCTGGCACACACCAATCAATTGGCTGTTCAATTCCAGGGTTCTGACACACACACACCAATCAATTGGCTCTTCTGGCACACACCAATCAATTGGCTGTTCAATTCCAGAGTTCTGACACACACACCAATCAATTGGCTCTTCTGGCACACATCAATCAATTGGCTCTTCAATCCAATTCCAGGGTTCTGACACACACACCAATCAATCAATTGGCTGTTCAATCCAATTCCAGGGTTCTGACATGCACCAATCAATTGGCTCTTCTGGCACACACCAATCAATTGTCTCTTCAATCCAATAACAGAGTTCTGACACACACACCAATCAATCAATTGGCTGTTCAATTCCAGAGTTCTGGCACACACCAATCAATTGGCTCTTCTGGCACACACCAATCAATTGGCTGTTCAATTCCAGGGTTCTGACACACATCAATCAATTGGCTCTTCAATCCAATAACAGGGTTCTGACACACACACACCAATCAATTGGCTCTTCTGGCACACACACCAATCAATTGGCTCTTCTGACACACATCAATCAATTGGCTCTTCAATCCAATTCCAGGGTTCTGACACCAATCAATCAATTGGCTCTTCTGGCACACGTCAATCAATTGGCTCTTCAATTCCAGGGTTCTGGCACACCCCACGCCCATTGCTGGTGGTTTTTCCTTGTTTTCCTCTTCACTTGATGCTCTCAGGTGTCCCCCAGGGGAGGTTGAGGTTCTGAAACAGCAGTTTGCAGTTTCTGGGTGACTCTTGTGACCGTCCCTGTGAGGTGGAAATCCCAGGGCTGGCTGGTGTGTCTGTCCTTGGCAATCCTGTCAGACCTTCTGCAGTGACAGGGACAGGTTCTTACAGCTCTGCTGAGGTCTCTCACTGTCCCAGGAATTCTGTGGGGAGTTCCTCCCAGCTCTCTGCACCTCCCTGCCCCAAACACTCCCATTCCTGGACGGGCACAGGAAAATGCCCTGACTTGCCAAGGCAGGGCTGGAACGGGCAAGTCACAGAATGCCAGGCCCTGCTCAGCAGAGAGCAGGGGAATTATTTCCAGGAGAGCACCAAACTCTTCACATTTGGCATTTATGGACATTTTATGGACAAACCCTGCTCAGCAGAGAGCAGAGGAATTATTTCCAGGAGAGCACCAAACTCTTCACATTTCCAGGAGAGCACCAAACTCTTCACATTTGGCATTTATGGACATTTTATGGACAAACCCTGCTCAGCAGAGAGCAGAGGAATTATTTCCAGGAGGGCACCAAACATTTCACATTTGGCATTTATAGACAAACCCTGCTCAGCAGAGGACTGGAGTTATTTCCAGGAGAGCACCAAACACTTCACATTTCCAGGAGAACACCAAACATTTCACATTTTTATGGACAAACCCTGCTCAGCAGAGGACTGGAATTATTTCCAGGAGAGAACCAAACTCTTCACATTTTCATGGCTAGACCCTGCTCAGCAGAGGAAAGAGGAATTATTTCCAGGAGAGCACCAAACACTCCACATTGTCCTGGATGCTGTGGATGTGTTTTTATGGTGGCCACATCTAATTTTGAAGCTGTTAGAGGCTGGGAGTGTGGCATGAGCTCGCTCAACTTCACCCTTCAGCAATGAACGGGGTAACTGGGGAATGATATCCTTTTAGGACAGAATTATGGGAATTACCACACTTGGGATGAGGCAGCTTCCTTGTGGTTTTCCACATGGCTTTGCTTCTCAAAATAAACCCCTTCTAGAGCAGCAGATGCAGAATAGGAGCTTTTGGGAAAGGAGGAGGCGGAAAGCTTCCCCACCCTGATCAGCTCTTTGGTTTTTTTGTGGGGTTCATTCACTCTCGTGTGCCTGGAGCTCCCTTTGTTGCAGGAAGCTCATCTCTTTTCAAAGAGATAAAAAGCATCGAGGCAATTGCTGTGGAAAACCTGCCAGGCTTTTCTGCAGGCTTGGATTAATCTTATTTTCTCTGCTGCAGAAGTGGGGCTGGGAGGTGTTTGTGCAGCGATCAGAGCTGCTTGTTGCCCTCCTCTTGGGTAGACTAAACTTGGGACCAAAGTGAGTTTTTTGGAGCAACAACAATTAAATGGCATTTTCCTCACTGCCCAGAATTGTTTTCTCACAAGCTCTAGCTCAAATTCCTGATTCCTGAACAGGAGGAATTTATTTTATTTATTTATTTTTTTTTTTAGTGAGGTTTTGTGGTTCTCTGGGATTTTTCCAAGTGTGATCAAAGCAGCTGCTTTGGCGTTTTTTCCTTTGCTCCTTTCATCTCCTTGGACTTGCCAGCCTGTGTTAGAGTGAGGAGAGTTTGTTGTTTCCATCAGAGATAAATGATAAATAAACATTGCTGGGCTCTGGGGAGGCCACACCTCAACCCCAGGGTCACAGGACGAGGGCATGGAGGGGCTGGAGCGTGTCCAGGGCAGGGAATGGAGCTGGGAAAGGGATGGAGAATTCCTGAGGGAGCTGGAAAAGGGCTGGAGAATTCCTGAGGGAGCTGGGAAGGGAATGGAGAATTCCTGAGGGAGCTGGGAAGGGAATGGAGAATTCCTGAGGGAGCTGGGAAAGGGATGGAGAATTCCTGGAGGAGCTGGGAAGGGAATGGAGAATTCCTGGAGGAGCTGGGAAGGGAATGGAGAATTCCTGAGAGAGCTGGGAAAGGGATGGAGAATTCCTGGAGGAGCTGGGAAGGGAATGGAGAATTCCTGAGGGAGCTGGGAAGGGAATGGAGAATTCCTGAGGGAGCTGGGAAGGGAATGGAGAATTCCTGAGGGAGCTGGGAAGGGGCTCAGGCTGGAGCAAAGGAGGCTCAGGGGGAATTTCTGGCTCTGCACAAGTCCCTGCCAGGGGGGATTTGGGATCTTATCCCAGGGAACGGCCTCAGGCTGGCCCAGGGGAGGCCCAGGGTGGAAACTGGGGAATGTTTCTTGCCCAGAAGGGCTGAAAGCAGGGCTGGAGTCCCCATCCCTGCAGGGATCGAGCAGCACTGATGGTCCATAAAATCCAGCACGAGCAGAACTCGATGGTTCATAGAATCCTTCCCAACCCAAACCACTGCACAGCCCCATCAGATTCCCGTCTGTTTCGTAGCCAGGCCGTTTCCTGGGGGCAGGAGAGATCCCATTTTCCCTCTCTCCACAGTTCAGTGGGGGCTGCCCACCATCTCTGCTGCGGGGGTGATCGGGATGCTGAGCGCCGTCGTCGCCAGCATCATCGAGTCCATCGGGGATTACTACGCCTGTGCCCGCCTGTCCTGCGCTCCTCCTCCTCCCATCCACGCCATCAACAGGTCTGGCCAAACCACAAATACCTCATTTCCTCAGTTCTTGGGTTTTTACCATTTTTCCCCACCTCGGGATGAGACGGGATGTGCTCCGAGATGAAATCTTGGCTTGGTCAAACACGAGAGCCCAGGATCTGAAATGCAGGATGGAGCTTGGATTATTTCCTTACAGAACTCTGGTGGTGGAATTGGGGTTGCCAAAATCACTTGGAATGAGGTTTAGAAACAAAGAGAGGCTCTGAAGTTTTATTTGAACTTTTTACATCATTTCCCCGATTTTATTTGAATTTTTCATATAATTTCCCCAGTTTTATTTCAATTTTTTATATAATTTCCTCAGTTTTATTTCAATTTTTAATATAATTTCCCCAGTTTTGCTTCAATTTTTTTATATAATTTTCCTAATTTTATTTCAATTTTTTAATATAATTTCCCTAATTTTATTTAAATTTTTTTATATAATTTCCCCATTTTTATTTGAATTTTTTATATCATTAACCTGATTTTATTTGAATTTTTTATATAATAATTTTTTTATATAATTTCCCCATTTTTATTTGAATTTTTTATATCATTAACCTGATTTTATTTGAATTTTTTATATAATTTCCCCAGTTTTATTTCAATTTTTTAATATAATTTCCCCAGTTTTATTTAAATTTCTTATAAAATTTCCCCAATTTTATTTGAATTTTTTATATAATTTCCCCAATTTTTTATGAATTTTTTATATCATTTCCCCAGTTTCATTTGAATTTTTTATAAAGTTTCCCCAGTTTTATTTCAATTTTTTATATAATTTCCCCAATTTTATTTCAATTTTTTATATAATTTCCCCAGTTTTATTTGAATTTTTATAAAATTTCCCCAGTTTTATCTGCATTTTTTTATATCATTTCCCCAATTTTATTTGAATTTTCTTATATCGTTTCCCCATTTTTATTTGAATTTTTTATATAATTTCCCCAGTTTTATTTGAATTTTTTACATCATTTCCCCACTTTAATAACGTGGGGACCTAAGCCTGAGGAAACAGAACTCAAATGTATTTTCCAGGTGTGTTAGAGCTTGAAACTTGAATTAAAATAATTATTTGATGGATCAGTGATCATCCCTCAGTGATGCTGTGACTGTTTGGGGTTCCCAGGGGGATTTTCATCGAGGGGCTCTCCTGCGTTCTGGACGGAGTTTTTGGGACAGGGAACGGATCCACCTCTTCCAGCCCCAACATTGGAGTCCTGGGCATCACAAAGGTGAATTTTATTTTATTTACTCTGTGTTCCTCATCATCCTCTTCCAGGACTTCCCACATCCTTCTGTACCAGCTCTTTATCTGAGAAAAACACATTGCTGTTACATCAGGACCTCAAAAACTCCTTTTATTCAGAGGATTATTTTATTTTATTTTATTATTTCCCCATAAATCAGATGCTGCTACACAAAATCTCTCTTGGGAAGCCCAGGCAGCCCAGGGTGGTTTGAGCTGAGGCATAAACACTGTAAATTCTGTAAAAATCGGTGATTTTTGGTGTCTGAAAGCATCAGTAGGAATTTTTTTTTTAATGCCTGACTCAGTAAAACGCAGCTTGAGGTGTTTGGGTTTTATCTGTGTCTGTGCTGGGACATTTCACAGGCCCAGGGCTCATTTCAGAGATAAATAAACCCTAAAATATTCCATTTGAATATTTTCATCAGGGGTTTATGTATTTATTGTGGTGCTGCTCCACAAAACACTTGAGGAATTGCTCTGGATGAGGCTGCAGGAATCTGCCTGATGATGTTAATTCAAAGTTGATAAGGAATATCAGAATATCAGAAATATCAGAATATTGTGTGATTTGTGCTGAGAATTGATCCAGCTTGTTGGGTGTTGAACCTGAAATCCTTTGTGCAGGGGTAGAAATGTCCTGCTCTTCCAGAAACTCATCCACTGATGATCCTGTATCATTAGATACATTTAGATCTGTATCAGTTATATACATTTAGATCTGTATCAATTATACACATTTAGATCTGTATCAATTATATACATTTAGATCTGTATCAATTATGTATTTAGATCTGTATCAATTATACACATTTAGATCTGTATCAATTATATATTTAGATCTGTATCAATTATATATTTAGATCTGTATCAATTATATACATTTAGATCCTGTATCATTATATACATTTAGATCCTGTATCATTATATACATTTAGATCTGTATAAATTATGTATTTAGATCCTGTATAAATGATAATAAATTTAGATCTGTATCAATGATACACATTTAGATCTGTATCATTAGATACATTTAGATCTGTATCAATTATGTATTTAGATCTGTATAAATTATATACATTTAGATCCTGTATCAATTATATACATTTAGATCCTGTATCATTATATACATTTAGATCTGTATCAATTATATATTTAGATCTGTATCAATTATACACATTTAGATCCTGTATCAGTTATATACATTTAGATCTGTATCAATTATATACATTTAGATCTTTATCAATTATATACATTTATATCTGTATAAATATAATGAATTTAGATCCTGTATCAATGATACACATTTAGATCTGTATAAATTATATAAATTTAGATCCTGTATAAATGATAATAATTTAGATCCTGTATAAATGATACACATTTAGATCCTGTATCAATGATAATAAATTTAGATCCTGTATCAATGATACACATTTAGATCCTGTATAAATTATATAAATTTAGATCCTGTATCAATGATACACATTTAGATCTGTATAAATGATAATAAATTTAGATCACATATAAATTATACACATTTAGATCCTGTATAAATGATAATAAATTTAGATCCTGTATCAATGATACACATTTAGATCTGTATAAATGATAATAAATTTAGATCCTGTATAAATGATAATGAATTTAGATCCTGTATCAATGATACACATTTAGATCTGTATAAATTATATAAATTTGGATCCTGTATCAATGATACACATTTAGATCTGTATAAATTATATAAATTTAGATCCTGTATCAATGATAGATTTGTCCTCAGCCATTCCCTCTCCTGCACAAAGGGTGATTCTGCTGGCTGAATTTGCAATTCAGCACTAACAGCTCCATCTGCTGTCTGCACATCCAGCTGGAAATCTCCTCGGAGAAGTTTTGATCAGGGAAAAAAAACCCTTAAAATAAAGGTTTATTCTGTTCTGCTCCTATTGTTACTTCATGGGGTTTGAGATGAATTAACAGCACTTTGTGGGGTTTTTTTGATGAGCAAAAAAAAATGAAATGAAATGAAGGAGAAATGAAATGAAGGAGAAATGAAATGAAGGAGAAATGAAATGAAGGAGAAATGAAATGAAGAAGAAATGAAATGAAGAAGAAATGAAATGAAGAAGAAATGAAATGAAGAAGAAATGAAATGTAAATGAAATTAGAGGCTGGAGCAGTGGAAGGTTGAAGAAGTGGAAGGCTCTGCAGCAGCCTCTGCTGAATTCCTGCCCCAAATTCATCCCCAAAACCCAGCACTTCTCCAGCTTCAGGTGGAATTTCAGCCCAGAAATCCTCTGCTGTTGATAAGGGAAGGGAAAACCTCAGTGCTGCAGATCCCAGGGCGTTTCCTGCCTCAAAATCGGTGTTTAATTACATTTAGAGTTGAAATTCAGCAGGATGGAGGCGCTGCAAAGAGCTTTGTTTGATTTGATGAGAGGAAGATCAATTAACTCTGGTTAGCTGGGGCTAAAGCAGCTCCTGCCAAGGAAGAGAATTGAAGAATTTGCCTGATTGTGGCAGAATTAGAATTGAAGAATTTGCCTGTTTGTGGCAGGATTAGAATTGAAGAATTTGCCTGTTTGTGGCAGGATTAGAATTGAAGAATTTGCCTGATTCTGCAGGAAGAGAATTGAAGAATTTGCCTGTTTGTGGCAGAATTAGAACTGCATAATTTGCCTGATTCTGGCAGGATTAAGAATTTGCCTGTTTGTGGCAGGAATAGAATTGAAGAATTTGCCTGTTTGTGGCAGAATTAGAATTGAAGAACTTTCCTGTTTGTGGCAGAATTAGAATTGAAGAATTTGCCTGTTTGTGGCAGAATTAGAATTGAAGAATTTGCCTGATTGTGGCAGGATTAGAATTGAAGAATTTGCCTGTTTGTGGCAGAATTAGAATTGAAGAAGTTGCCTGTTTGTGGCAGGAAGAGAACTGAAGAATTTGCCTGATTCTGCAGAATTAGAATTGAAGAACTTTCCTGTTTGTGGCAGGATTAGAATTGAAGAATTTGCCTGATTCTGCAGGAAGAGAATTGAAGAATTTGCCTGTTTGTGGCAGAATTAGAACTGCATAATTTGCCTGATTCTGGCAGGATTAGAATTGAAGAACTTTCCTGTTTGTGGCAGGAAGAGAATTGAAGAATTTGCCTGATTCTGCAGAATTAGAATTGAAGAATTTGCCTGATTCTGGCAGGATTAGAATTGAAGAATTTGCCTGTTTGTGGCAGGATTAGAATTGAAGAATTTGCCTGATTCTGCAGAATTAGAATTGAAGAATTTGCCTGATTCTGGCAGAATTAAAATTGAAGAACTTTCCTGTTTGTGGCAGGAAGAGAATTGAAGAATTTGCCTGATTGTGGCAGGAAGAGAATTGAAGAATTTGCCTTGGCAAATCTCTCCTCAGCATGGTTTTCCCATTTTTCTCTCTTTCCCTCTGGGTCCCACCACATTTCCTGACCATTCTGGCCCTTCCAGGTGTTTTTTGGGGCTGTCCTGGTGCCCCCCAGCCCCAGGGCAAGGGCTGAGCTCATCTCCAGCACCAGAAGGAAACACAGGGGCGAGCTCAGACGAGAAGTGGCCACTTCAGGGTGTGTGCAGAGCTGAGGCAGGGCTTTCTCTGCTGTTCCCCTGCAGGTTGGCAGCCGCAGGGTGATCCAGTACGGATCTGGGTGTGTGCAGAGCTGAGGCAGGGCTTTCTCTGCTGTTCCCCTGCAGGTTGGCAGCCGCAGCGCGACCCCGTGCTGGGGGCTCTCTTCTGCACCCTCTTCGGTAAGGGCGGGGTTCCTGCCCCTCATCCCTCTCCCTAAAGGTTTTTCTGCTTGGTTTTTGAAGGATAAACCCTTATCTAAAAGCTGTTTGTTTTTTTTTATTGTGTGTGTTCAGGGATGATCACGGCCGTGGGTCTGTCCAACCTGCAGTTCATCGATCTGAATTCCTCCCGGAATCTCTTCGTGCTGGGGTTTTCCATTTTCTTCGGGCTGGTCCTGCCCAGCTATCTCAAACAGAACCCCCTGGTCACAGGTAGGGCTCTCCTGCTCCTTCACACCGACATCTCTGCCTTCTTTTCCCCTGGGAAATCCATCCAGGAGCAGGGAAAAGGGCGGGAAAGAGGAAACCCAAATCGCCAGGGGAAATCCCAAATGATTTTTGACATTTCACACCCCAATCCCAGCAGACAGGAAAGGCTGTAGGTCCAGACAAGCTCAGAGAATTCACTGGGAGCTTGAGACCTGCAGGGAATGTTCCAGAAGCTTCCCTGCTGTCTCTGGGTGTAAGGAAGGAGGCAGTCACCAGCTGGGCTGGAAGGAAATGTGAAAGGATGAATGTGAGCTGTAAAATGATGTTAAAAGATGAAGGGGAAACACCAAGGCAGAGTTCAGAGGGTGAGGGAATCGTTTGGGGTTGAAACTTTTTGTCACTCAGACCTGTTCTGAGTGTGAGTTTTCATTTCAGTGAATCCCTCTGCAGATTGTTCATCCATCTTTGGGGAGTTCCCTGGGAGGGTTTTCTGTTCTAAGCAGTGTGTGTGTCACACCAGAGATGGACTCAGAGGAAACATTTCACTGCTTTGGGTTTGTTTGGGGTGTTTCAAACGAAATATTAACTGACTTTTCTTTCCACTATGCCTTCAGACCAGGATTTCAGGGTGTATCTTGCTGTAAGTGGTTAGAAAAGCAGATCCTTCAAGCTTTCCGTGGTTAATGCAGTGTTCTCCCATAAGTGGGGCTGTGAATTCTTGCCACTTTCTAAAGCAAAGATCTGTAAAAAGAATTATTTCAGTCCCCATGATTTTACAGTCTGAACGTTTCTCCATTTCACGGTTTTCTGCTTAGAAAAAGATCTTTAGCTGATCTTTAGCTCAGATTAGTTGTGTCTGCAGTAGGAACTACAAAAACGGTGTTTTGTGACATTTCTGTGAGCAGCTGGGAGTTCCTCAAGTTGCATTTTGGGGAACAATGTCCCGTGGCTGTGCACTGGGGGAAGTCTCCTGTGCCCTTGCTGAGCACAGCCCTCACTCAGCTCAGGAACAAAGGTTCCTGCTGGGGCTGGGTGTGAATCAGCAGGATTTGGGGGATCCCAATCCCAGAGGTTTCCCTGTTGCTGCAGGAATAGCGGGCATTGACCAGGTGCTGAACGTCCTGCTCACCACAGCCATGTTCGTGGGGGGCTGCGTCGCCTTCGTGCTGGACAACACCATCCCAGGTTGTTCTTGTCCTTGTTCTTGTCCTGTCCCTGTCCCTGTCACTGTTCTTGTCCTGTCCTTGTCCTTGTTCTTGTCCCTGTTCTTCTCCTTGTTCTTGTCCTTGTCCTGTCCCTGTTCTTGTCCCTGTCCCTGTTCTTGTCCCTGTCCCTGTTCTTGTCCCTGTCACTGTTCTGTCCCTGTCACTGTTCTGTCCCTGTCACTGTTCTGTCCCTGTCACTGTTCTGTCCCTGTTCTTGTCCCTGTTCTTGTCCCTGTCCCTGTTCTGTCCCTGTCCTATCCCTGTCCCTGCTCCTATCCTTGTCCCTGTCCTTGTCCCTGTCTCTGTCCCTTTCCCTGTCCCTTTCCCTGCTCCTTTCCCTGCTCCTTTCCCTGCTCCTTTCCCTGCTCCTGTCCCTTTCCCTGTCCCTTTCCCTGTCCCTTTTCCCATCCCTGTCCCTTTCCCTGTCCCTTTCCCTGCCCTTGTCCCTTTCCCCATCCCTGTCCTGTCCCTGTCCTTGTCCCCATCCCTGTCCCTGTCCCTGTCCCTTTCCCTGTCCCTTGTCCCTTTCCCCATCCCTGTCCTGTCCCTGTCCTTGTCCCCATCCCTGTCCCTGTCCCAAGCTGCACTCCCTGCAGCAGCAGCAGCAGCATTCCCTGGGGCACAGCAGCAGCAGCATCCCCTGGGGTGCAGCAGCAGCAGCAGCAGCAGCAGCATTCCCTAGGGCACA